AATTTATTGGAGGGGAGTGCCAGGTAGAGAGAGATTGTTTTCTCTGAAGTTTTTGGAATTGATGAATATTATTGAGGCTTTCTTTTGATTCAGGAAGTTCTTTCCTTATTACATTAAAAAAAAATCTTAGGAGACAGTTCTTCAGTTTTGGTTTTGGGTATGCATATCTTGGGCCCATCATTCAACCGCCATGTGCTTTTTTGTGTTTCTTTAAAGTTTTAAAGTATTTATTTAATATGTATGGTTGTTTTGTGTTTATATATATTTGTGTACCACATTTGTGCCTGGTACCAGATGAAGCCAGAAAAGGGCGTTGGAATCCTTGGGCTTGGATGGTTGTAAGCTGCCATATGGGTGCTAGAAATCGTATCCAGGCTCTGAAGAACAATAAATGTTCTTAACTTCTGAGCCAGCTTACCAGGCCTGCTTTCCCTTGATTGTCAAATTGGGCTCTTTTTTTTTTTTTTTCTTCCCAAAATGAAAAATTTCTTGTTATTACAGCAGATCAAAGTTGTTTTCAGATACTGTTTATGATTGTAAAAGATGTCATATCCATTCCTCTTACCCAATTCTAGATACTCAGGTCCCTTCTATAAAAATGGCGTAGTGTTTGCATATGGCCTACATTCATCTTCCAAATGCTTCAGGCCACCTTCTGTATTACCTGTAATTTCTACAATTCAAATGCTATGCAATTAAAACATTTTTATCATATATTGTTTAGTTAGATATATTTAAATGATATGAGAAATGACAGTATGTTTTGCAGTTTTTGACATAAATAGTATATGTATGTATGATAAACCTCAATTTATGAAAGTTATGTTCAGTAACTTTGTGGTTGTGACCATTAAAATTATCATTAATCAAAGGGGATCACTGACTATCAAGTGCAGTCTCTTGTTAATTATCTTCTAATTCATTTGGTCTTATTTAAGAGACATTGTTTGGTTCAGTGTCAGTTTTGCATCTCACTACTACTTAGCTGGTAAGTAGTTTGTAAATTGCAGTATAACTCAAAATTAGGATAACTTGGTTCATGCATCGAAACTTTTTTTCAAGGCAGGAGGTTCAGAATAGCAGAAGTATAGGTAAACATTTAAGTAGCAAAACACAAAAGGCTGTCAGTCTACTTTGAAGAATCAAGTTTATCCTGAAAGCAGTACAGATTCATGTTATATTTCTACTGTATGCTTCTAGGGATAAATATGGAGGAGGTCAGAATCTTGTTATTTATTTGGATCCATCCATCCATCCATCCCTCCATGCCTCTTTTCTTTCTGCAGGGTTTCTCTGTGTAGCTTTGGAGCCTGTCCTGGAACTCTGTAGACCAGGCTGGCCTCAAACTCATAGAGATTTGCTAGCTTCTGCCTCCTGAGTGCTAGGGTTAAAAGAGTGTACCACCACTGCCCAGGTTTTTTATTTTATTTTATCTTATTAGATTGGTTTATGCTTCAGTCACTTAATACCTAGTCTTACTAAAGCTATATTGGGGAATATTTCACTAAAGCTGAATTCATATTAGTAATATGCCAACAGCATGGAGAGGACCATCTAAGTAGCTTTGTTTCTGTTTTCTGAATTTGATGAGAAACACTGTTGAGTTTATCTCAGCACATACATGTTACCTGTTACTTTTCACTTGAAAGATCACTGAGCTTCTGTGGGTATAACTGAGTTGAATTGTGATGGTTCCTGCTCTGTGGTCATGTTATTCTCCCAAATACTTGTTCTTCTGTTTGCCTTAGTAAGAAAATATTTTTTCCTTCTCACTCTGAAAATATATAAGTTGTCATAGGGTTGATGGAGAAGTAAACGTGAGATTAAAACAAATTAGATCTCGTATAGTTGTGCCTGGCAGTGGTTTTGGGCAGGACTCAGCTTTAACTGTCACTGCTGATCTTGGGAAGTTTGCTCCTTTCCCAGTTATATCACTTAAGTTTACAAAGAGCGATATGTAGAAGGGAAGCTCAAATAAAACACTCCTCCAGATACTTTGCTAAATTATGGCTTTTATTAGTTACTTTTGTGAAGCTTATTCTTAATCTAGTGGGTGTTGATTTTGACATAGCTGAAAGCTAACTGATAATCTTCTGTCATGAAATACTAGTTTTTTTTTTTTTTTTTTTTTTTTTTTTTTTGTAAGGGAATAGGTAATCAATTAGTGGAATGTTTGGCAATGTTTGATGTTTATTGATAATCACTACAACAAGTAGATCAGGAGACTCACCACAAAATACAATACCATGTCCATAGAGTGAATCATTGTTTTTAGTAAATCTCTAAAAATTTTTTTTTTGGAGACGGGGTTTCTCTGTATTGTTTGGAGCCTGTCCCAGCACTCACTCTGTAGACCAAACTGACCTCGACTCACTCTGTAGACCAAACTGACCTCGAATTCACAGAGATCTGTCTGCTTCTGCCTCCTGAGTGCTGAGTCATGTGCCACTAACACCTGGCTTAAGCGTAGCTTTTTGTTTAAGAAAATTACAAATAAATGTCAGAGTAGAGCATCTAATTCAGGCTTTATTAGTAAATTATTGTGGTGTTCATTTCAGACAGAAGTGGAGGTATTGTGAAAATTCATGGAAGCAACAATTTGATGAATAGTGTATAAAGATATTCTAGTGGCACAAACTAATTGTTACGATTTATCTGCAAGATGGAAATTTCAGCATGTTATCTTAAGTCTTTTAATTTGGTGTAATAATTGGTGTTGATAACCCTAATAATAACCTTAGGGCAGTGATTCTTAGCTTGTGTGTCTCGACCCTTCAGAAAACACAACTTAATATTTACATTAAAATTCACAATAGTAGTAAATTTATAGTTATGAAGTAGCAATGAAAATGGCTTTATAGTTGGTATAACCATAACATTATGTGTAAAAAGGCCTCAGCATTAGGAAGGCTGAGAACCACTGCCTTAGGCCCCTTGATATCAACTCATTGTCATTGATTTGTTGTGAGGCCTAATTTGTAGTTCTTAGCATGATGTTGATTTCCTAGAGTAGAAAGATCCTCATGGTGTACAGTGTGGAGGATTCCAGGGCCATGCTTTCATGTTTCTTCTATCTAGTAGCCTGTGGAAAAAATCCTTTTGTTTTTCCATCATCAGATTTTGATAGTGGCTCTGGAATGCTATCTCCAGTTTGAAATTTGATTTAAATTGAATTTAAAATCAGCTTCGAGTAGTTTTACCCATACCTTACTGCCTAGCACATAGAAAACTGATGTTCAACACAAGCTTTATTTTGTGCATACAGCTTAGATATGGTGAGCAGCTCCTAGTTAGGAAATTCTTCTGGAATGTCGGTTTTCTCATGAATATGAGCTGTTAAGACAACCTGGCATGAAACTTGGAGATCTACTTGCCTCTGTCCAGCTTTGGGCTTAATTTTGATTGTTTTCTGATTTGTGTGTGTGTGTTGTTGTTGTTGTTGTTGTTGTTGTGCGTACAATATCTAGAAAAATGGTTTAATTCTATATATAAGATAATGAGTGTAATATAATAAGTGGATGCAAAAGCCATCAGGCTGCTCCACTTTCAGACTTTTGGGCAGATTTCTTTTATTGAATTTCCTACATTGATGTTAGGTTAACTTTGCTAACCACACTGATGGTTAATCCTCTTATCTTGTGTGGCATAATAGCTTTTTTTGAGTCTGTTCATAGCTTGACTTATAAAAGGATCCATAATCAATTTAATCTTGGCTATAGCTGTTGCTAATTACTGTTTGTTAGTACCCAGTGTATGTGTATAGATTACCAGGCCAAGTTCATCTACTTTTGATGCCTAATGGAGGATTGGCAGCGTACATTCATACATTTGCTCCTTTCTGTTGTAGTTTTGGATAAATCAGCTGACAATTTCTGTTTGGATCTATTGAATCTCATTAGTCATCACCTTCTCTCTCAGTTCATCTTCCTTTTTTATCCATTTAGTTTTTCCTATTCTTACCCTTGTTTACTACGATTATAATTTGGTAATTAATAGGGCCCACAGGACTATTGTCCAAATCTATCTTAAACATACCACTTTTAGTCTTATCCTATTGTTAAGCATCAATACTGTCTCTAGTACTTTGCTTTCAAAGGTTAGTTATAACCTGGAAGTGGTGACTGTCACCTTAAATCCCAGCACTGGGGAGGCAAAAGTAGGACAGACATGTTGACTCTTTTTACATCATTATTGATGAGTTTTGTGTATTTCTATTTGTGTGTACCTTGGCTTTTATTGTATTTTCCTGGTGCAAGGAATTAATCTGTCTTGTGTTGCTGTGAGTGACAAGTACTCTGTACTAAGCTGTATTCCCAGCCATCTTTTCTTAAAACAGTAGAGGGGAAACTCTTATCCTTGGTGATCTTTGGTATGCATCTTAGTAAGACTCAAGTCACTATTAAGGAGCAAGTTTTTTATGTCATCTTTAAAACTTGAATACATCTTCCTTTGGACTTAAAACTATTAAAGGGCAAATTTAGGGGTTATTGTTTAAAAATCAGAAGGTGATTTCAAAAATACTGAAAACAGCAAGTTATCTGTGGTCTTTTGTACTTAATCTTTTGAGTTTTCACACTCTTTTCATTTTTCTTTGAAAGAAACTTGACAAAATTTTTTTTTCAAAAAATAGTCTGGCTATATTTGGAACTCACTATGCAGATAAGAATGACCTCAAACTTACAGAGAACCTACTGTTTCTGTCTGCAGAATTTTGGGATTAAAGATATGCTCAGCTATATGGTCTTATTTTTAAGCCATGTCTATTAATAGTAGGATGAAACATTTCCTGTAGTATTAAATGGATGAGTTGAGTTGTTAATAGCATAACCTATAATTTCAACATTTGATGCTGGCAGTATGAATTTAGTGTTAGTATCGACTAAACAAGGATTACATGTTTTTCAGATATTCATAGGACATATTAGTCAAATAATATTTACAGTGGTATGGCCTAAAAAGTAGGTGACAACTGTAGTTATTCTTTGTTCTTTCTCTTTAAGGGACCAGTTATTCTCCACAAGAAAATTCACACAACCACAGTGCTCTTCATAGTTCAAATTCACATTCTTCTAATCCAAGCAATAACCCAAGCAAAACTTCAGATGCAGTAAGTATTAAAATGATGTTTAATTGGTTAAAAGGCGATTGAAGTGAAAAAGTACACTGTAAATATTCTTAGATGTTGTCTTTAGATATTTAAAATATTTCAACTGGAATTGAGCTTAATATATTTTTGTATGTTATTGTTCATATAGCAAGTACAAATAATATCAACTTTTCTAAAGTTAAGGTTTGTTTTCTTTTAGTGATAGATAAATTGCTTGTTTATTCTCTGCTGTGAAGTTTGTATTTCACCAAACAGTGAGGACAATATCATGGTCCTAAATGGCATAAAACAAACAAAAACAAAAAGATGGCACTGTAAAATACTTTGGCAAGCTTCGATTAATGAAATATATTTAGTGCGGGTCCAAATGAGATTTCTTATAAAGAATAATCTGATGTATACTAAGTTTTGTCATATAGCTAAGACACAGTGTGGGTCATTTTCATGGAACTTGATTTGATAATGTGTGATGGTGATAGAAGATTTTAGAATGTTAAAGATGTTTTGTGGATCCTTAAGATGACATCCCATCTCTCTTAACAAATTTGAGAATAACTTAGACAGTTGAAGATATTGTTTAGTCTTTAAGAGATACAACAACACTTAAAAAGAAAGAGATGTATGGAAATTAATGGACATGGTACACATGCCTCTGATCTCCGAGATTGGAAGGCTGAGGCAGGAGACAAAACTGGGGAAATTAGCAAGAACTTGCCTTTAAAAAGAAAAAAAAAAAAGCATAACAAGGATTTTTGATAATTATGGGGGAAAGGAAGGAACTGTCCAGATAAAAAGTCAAACCAGAATCATAAAATAGTGTCTATTAATGAAGAAAGTGAATTTCATAGAAAAGCAGTGGACAACTAATGAAAGATGTAGTCTAAAGCAACTATTGATTGCAATTTTAAAAGTTACCACAAGTAGGACTTCAAAAATACAAGAGAGAGTAAAAAGTGAATGAATAATGTAGACTTTCAAACAAGGACTTTGACTTTGCTCATTTAAAAAAAAAAATTGGGCTGGAATCATGGTTCAGTTATTAAAGACCAGACTTAGAACAAAAAAGATAGAAAAAAAAATCCTCCTTAGAACAGCACTGTGGTGGAGGGCTGGGAGAAAGCTCAGGAAGTAAAGGCACTTTTCTGTGCAAACCTGAAGACCTGAATCTAGTCCCTGGGAAGGGAAGGAGAGGTGAAAACACAGCTGCTCCCCACAGTACACTGACCTCTCGTTACGGCTTTCTTGCCTCCCCCCCACCACATGCAAGCTTGTGTGTATGTGCACATATATGTGTAATAAAAGCAAAATTAGAACAGTATACTTGAATCCCTACCCCGTTTAAGCACTCTACCCTAATTTTGAGTCGTTGGAAAGTGCTTTAAACTCAAACTTGACTTATATATTCATGTAATAAGCCCTCTTGTTATTAGCTAAGTAGCTTTTGATAGTTTGGAACTTACTTGAGTATATCATAACTTTGCAAAACTTCCTTTGGGGGCAGGGTTTAACTGTGTAGCTACCTGGCCTACAATCATGTACACCAGGCTGGAGCAAAAAATATGTGTCACCATGCCTAGCTCTGAAGCCAGTTTGCCTGGAGACATTCTCTTTAGTTTACTAATTTTAATTTTACTAAAAAATATTTTATTTACTAAAAATATTTATCAAAGGATTATTAGTACTTAATAGGAAAGGCCATCTTTATTTAATGAGCAATTAATAACTCATGAGTTAATTTATTATTAACATACTTATGTAGTTTTAAAAATGTTGGTAGTATGAACAGTTGAAAAAGTGGAGATAACTTTTTTGAAGAAGAAACAGTCACATTCAAGTAAGGCACTTCAATGTTTGAATTCAAGGATAGGTGTCTTGGTAGAATGTCCCTTTTATGGGAGGGTTTAGACTGGGTCTCACTATATAATCTTGGCAGGTCTGGAACTTGCTGTGTACACCAGACTGGCTGGCTGCAAAGCCGTATAGGCCTGCCTGCCTCTTGAAGGCCCTATTTTTAAAGTCATACAATTTATATACTTTTCTTAGATAATTTATATAACTTGATGTTTACTATATTGAAAATAAAAATATTTTAAAACTTCTCATTTATAATGCCAACCAACCCCATCATGTGTTAATATGTTTAACATTTTAATAAAAAATAACCTTTCTAAAGAATATCTTAGATATCTCCTATCCAGATTTTTTTGTTTGTTTGTTTGTTTGAGGGTCAGGTTCTGACCATAGGTCCTGTATGGCTTCTCAATAAATGCCACTTTGATGATGATAAATTAAGAAGGAAAAAAGAGAAACTCATTTTAGTAATGTTAGGAAGTAGTTTGAATCTTGTGGAAGAAGCTCAGGTTTCCTCAAGTATTTGTAATATTTGAGAACTGATTGACTCTGTGGCTACATGTTATGCTTAATTTAGAAAATGTGAAATGTATGCAGACTTTAGATATTCTTTTTATAAAGTCAGGGATGTTGGTTCATGCCAGTACAAATTGGTACTTTTAAATTACACCATTGCTTGAAGGATCTTTATACTTGACTCCATGGGTTGAGATGGTGTTCATTGGTTTGTGATTGGGAAAGTAACTTGCAGCTTACTTCTTACACTAAGATATTCCACTTGTATAAGCTGAGATTTCATACCAGTGTTGTAGATCCTTATACTTCAAGGCTGTGAATGTTACATGGTGGGAACACAGGTATAGCCAGTGGGGGGATTAACCTTCCTCAGTAAGAACTCTGGTAAAAGAAGTGTTCAGCCTATATATTGTTTCCCTTAAGACAGCAGACAGTTTGCAGTCCATTAACTTTGAAGAGCACTCATGGTTTAGATACTGGTATCTGTCTGTTCTGTTCCTGGGTCTGTTTATTATTAGCCTGGACCTTAGTCTGTTTCTCCGGCTAGTTCCTAGACCTTACATTCTTGGCTAATGTTAACCTCTGAACAAATATTTAAAGGGGAACAGCTAAAAAAATCAAAAAAATACTAGATAGTTTCTGGATATTTTAGGCTTGATGAAGTAAGTACTTAACATTTACCTGCCTTTTTAATCTTACGGCACCAGTTCCATGTAACCACTTTCCAGGTTTTTCTAGTTTCATTGTAATTTTACATGGACTAATGTCTGCAAGGGATCAATTGAGAATTTTGAAAGAGCAGCATTAGTTAACAGAACTGTACTGCTACCTTGTGTTCTCCATTAGACAGTATTCTACTTAGTACTTAGCATATGCCATGGATTTTAAAGGCAAACCAAATTATCATATCAGCCTTCTGTTTGTCTTGAAAAGCTTTTGGTTTCTTTTTCACTAAATAACAGCAAATACTAGTTGTCTGCCATCTAACATTATATCTGATTACCCTTTTCCTTCTGAGTTTAGAAGTAATGATTTTATGCCTTCATGTCAGTTGGGCATCACCCCTCCCCATGTCACTAGTTTTACTAGTTAAACTTCTGCTTAAGTTGAGCTCTTATAAAGCTTTCTAAATTCAAGGTATTAGTAATCTTCATGTTATTCCCAAACCTAATAAAGTGATATACTATGATCTTTCTAGATATTGTAGATATTCTTACTCATAAAGGTTTTAGTGTACCAAGTGTTCTAAAATATATACATTGAAATTTTTATTATACATGTCAAATGTTTATTGACATTTTGTAATTTTTAAAATGTATTTTTAAGCCTTATGATTCTGCAGATGACTGGTCTGAGCATATTAGCTCTTCTGGAAAAAAATACTACTACAATTGTCGCACAGAAGTTTCACAGTGGGAAAAACCAAAAGAGTGGCTTGAAAGGTATTTGCTTTTAATCTAGTAATATTCCTTACTTAATTTGTTAATTAACATATCCTAAGTCATTAAACAATATCTTTAGGTTCTGTATAGTGAAACTATTTATTTTTAGTCATGGTACCCTTTTATGGTTTTCCTTCATGTAAAATAGTTTCTAGGACATGTAGACAATCATCTGTGGTGGCCTGTGAACAGTCAGTATTTGATGAAATACTTAGCAATCAGTCATTTGATGTTGTAATAGAGGTCTTTATTTATTTCATTTGGTTAGTTTGAGACAAAGTTTCATACTCAGGCTGGCCTAGAATTCTCTCTCTAGCCAAGACTGGCTTTGATCTATTATTCCTGCCTTTATCTACCATATCCTCCTTCTGCCTTTTTTTTTTTTTTTGGGGGGGGGTTTCTATGTCTGGTCCTGGCTGTCCTAGAACTCACTTTGTAACCAGGCTGGCCTTAAACTCACAGAGATTCACCTACCTCTGCCTCCCAAGTGCTGGGATTAGAGGCGTGTGCCAACGCTGCCCCTTTATGTTTTAGAAGAAGTCTTTATGTGACCAAAAAAAAAAAAAAAAAAAAATTTTTTTTTTAAATTTCACAATTTATAGAACTATTGTTGGGAGTTTGGGCTGTGGAGTTAGTGTGAATAGCTGGTAGTTTCACTATGAGAAACATTTTTTTTTCATCTGTTTGTTGTATCTGTCTTTGAGAACAGTTTCAGTAGCAAACCATGTTCCATTCGTTTATTCCATGTACTGCTTTGTTGAGCATTTGGTAAGAAAAGTTATTACAGAGACTCAAGTACTTCATGTTATTTTTATTCATAAAGTGATGTCTGATCTTTTACTTCTAGAGAACAGAGACAAAAAGAAGCTAATAAGTTGGCAGTTAATAGCTTCCCAAAAGATAGGGATTACAGAAGAGAGGTGATGCAAGCAACAGCCACTAGTGGGTTCGCCAGTGGGAGTAAGTGCTCTTTTGTCTTTTGTTACCTAACAGTATTTTTTATTTGTTACTATTGCTTGTTTTAATTTACCAATTTATAAATTCCATCTACATGTGTAAATGGACATGGAAATATATGTGATTTGTATTATTGCTTCTCGATTATTTCCTGGAAAGGGAAATGGTTCAGGGTGGAATATGTGGTTCTTATTACTCATGTTGTCTGTAATGCAGAATTGGTAAAGAGCAAGATTTCAGTTTTTAAAGTACTAAAATTGAGTTCTTGGGCTGGAGAGGTGGCTCAGAGCTTAAGACCTTCAAGAGGTTCTGAGTTCAATTCCCACATGGTGACTCATAAACATCTATGTTGAGATCTGGTGCCCTCTTCTGGAGTGCAGACATACATGGCAGGCGGAACACTGAGTACACAATAAGTAAATAAATCTTAGAGAAGTAATTGAGTACACATTGATACCAGTGCACTACTAGCATTTTGTTACCAATGAGAAGCTATCCGTGTGTTAGATTGACACAAATTTAGATGTTGTTTAACATTGCAGTGGTGTGAAGTATATTTAACAACTCTGGATTGTCATTTTCACTGTGTTAGAAAATCATATCAGATAGTCACACTTGATTAGAAAACAAATTTCATGAGAGAGTTTTGCCAGACTGTACTGACGAGGCTATACTGTTATTTATCAGTGGCTTACATGTGGTAATGTGTTTTCAGTGTATCTCTGATGTGCAATAGTGTTGCTGGGATCTAACCACATTGTATGTACTTAGAAGTTAGTCCCACTGCGTTAGAGATATAAGCTGTATAAGCTGTCAACTGAGGCTTCACAGGGACATTAATATTCTCGACAGAAACTGTTTTTCAATTTTGTTTAAGGTGCCTTGATGTGTAAGAAAAATTGTGGTCATACCATCGTGTTTTCTTGAAATTCATCTACTGATGTGTACTGCTGATTCTCAAGGAATTCTTTGATGGGAAATATTACTTAGGGTGAACTTAGTTGCATTAGGGGCAGTTTTCTGTCCAGCTGATCCCATGGTCCTTGTGCTCCAAATGAACACTCAGAGACTTCTATTAATTATAATACTGTTGGCCGATGGCTTGGCCTTCTTATCGGCTAGCTGGCTTAATTATTAACCCATAACTACTAATCAATGTATTTCCACGTGGTCTTGGCTTTCAGGAGAATGTTCAGAGAACGGCGGACCTGCAGCTCCTTTGCCTGCTATATCGCGACTGTTCTGGCAGGCTCTCTCGCCTACTGTCCCCAAATTTCCCCTCTCCTATTCCCACCTATCTTCTTGCCTCATTGGTTGGTCCAACAGTGTTTTAATCATCAACTAATAAGAGAAACTATACAGAATAACATCTCCTGTCAAGGAACTAATTTAAACTACTAAGAGAATTAAAATACCATTTTAAGACATAAAATGTGAGTTTTAATTTTGTGTTGTCCTTTGTCTCAGGTAACTAGCAGATGTCAACCAAACAAAAAGGAGCTAAGGTTTTTCTTGGTGAAATCAAATAACATATAGTTTGTTGTCTTTCATGCAATTGATGGATGGGGAGGGGAAGCATGGAGGAGTGATACACATTGTCTAGAAAAGAACTGTTAAAATCAAAACATAAGGAAAATTTATTGTGCTTGTGAACTAGGTCCTAGAATTAGACAAGTACTGCATTGGGCCAGCTGATTGTAAATAGGTTTAGGCTAGTAGTTCTCAAAGAGGGAAGACTATGTCTGCTGGCTTACAGGAATATTGGGTGGTTTTTCGCCATTTCACACTGAATTCCTAAATGTACAATATAGATCTGTAGCCAGAGTTGTGGTGTATATATTTTGTTTATTTTTAAGTGGGAAGTTTTATACGGGAGGGAAGGGAGTGGGAAAGGAAAGGTAGAGGAGAAAGGAGAGAGAGAGAGACACTTATTTTGTTTTCTCATTTTAAAGTTTAGTCATTCTTTTCCAGGGTTAGAGTTTATAAAGTTACATTGGCATGGACCACATGGTAACTTATTGCTACTTGACAAAAGTTTCAGCATTGCAGACCACACTTCTCCAGTACCTTTATACTTTATTTCCCTTTGGGAAATTTTATGTGGGCTTTGGTAGAAACTAAAAATGTGTACAATGGTAGCCTCTCTAAACAATAATTCTTAGGGGGGAAAAGTCTTACCACTACAGAACCAGGAATTCCATTATGCCCTCCCTCCCAAGAACAGAAATTTACTAGACACACTTGATCCCAAGGATAAAATACCTACAATTCAGATCCAGAACCTGAGGCCATTAAGGGTAAGAGTTCAGTTAGTAAATGGAGAGAAACCAGAATTGTATGGTATAATGGGAAAAAGTGTAAGATGCCACGACCTTTCATTTTGAGAGTGTATGAGTGAACAGGCCCATCCATATAGTAAGACCTAAACTATGGTATAGTTTCTTCTTCCTGAAAGTCCTTTTCTCAAGGTTAGGCATTTGGATAGGGTCTCCATTCCCCTGGGGGCTTGAGGAAAGTTCCTGCTTGATAGAGCAGTTATTCTTTCTCTGTAATAGAAACTTGTGGTTCTTTCATTAATATATGACTGGTGGTGGCCTATTGTCAAGGTTAAGGCTAGCTTCCTCAACTCCTGATATCAAGCTACACTCCAATTCGCATTCCCCTTGTCTCGGTCCTGTTTAATCCTATGTGCAGTTATAGAATATAAAACTGTAGTTTCTTTTCAATTAAATAAGCTGGCAGCCAACCTGATTCAATGGCCCTCAGATTGTATCCTTCTCCTCTTCCTCTCCACCACGTACTCCATATATCCTCCTTGGTACCTGAACACCTCCATCCCCAGAGAGAGAGAGAGAGGGAGGGAGGGAGGGAGGGAGGGAGGGAGGGAGAGAGAGAGAATTTTATATGTTGGGGTTTGGTTCATAATTTCAAAGTAAGGCATGTTTGTTATTTTAAAATTTAGATCTTTTATGGGATGTACTCCTTTAACCACTATACTAGGGAGGCAAACACAGGTGGATCTGTATAAAAATTTAGAATGTTAAACTTAGTCTCTTGACCCAGGAACTTTCTGAGGTACATGCTTTGTTTACTACATGTGTATAGAAATCAGACATGTTTATATTTAGAACCAAAAATGATATGTTATAGATCACTTTTCTTGTTCATTGGTATTTCAGGGATCTGCCTCTGTGTTAGTTCGATTTTACATCTGCTAAATTACTGCCTGTACCATTCTGCTTCAGTATACTATTATTATTCTAAGCCTTCTGCTGTCTGAATATTGAGTGGTTTTCAGCCATTTCATACTCAGTGATTTGTATCTGCCCTTTTACTGTTCCTTTGTGTGCAAATAATGCGTCAATAGATCTGACTGGGGTAGTGATCTGGTTTAGTTTGTATTTTTAAAGTTTTAAGTAATGGTTGAAAGAGAACTTTTTGCCATATTGGGTCCAATTTTTCCTGTTTAATTTTTCCCACTAATTTATATATGGAGCTGTAGTAATAAAGTCCAGTATTCCATTTAATTATTTGACATTGTCAAATACTGTTTTGTGTTTATTGGCATCGGGTAGAATAGTACTTAGAGTGTGTTCCTTTCTACTGGAGTTTTTACCACAATCTGATACAGTCTAAAACTCATAAGTGTATGGATATAATTTTCCTTTTTTATTAACTGGATCTGGATTATTTCTTTCTGTATTTAATAAATAGTATGATTCTTCTAAATTTAGAGAAACCTCAATTGGCATTTCTTATATCACTAGTGACATTTTGGATCTGGCCATTCTTTGCTGGAGAGACTGCCCTGGAATTATAAATTATTATTATACCTGGCTAGTCATCCCTCCTCCCCCCTACCTCCATTGGCATTCAGAGATGTCTGGGGAGCTGTGGTACAGATAGAGATACTTGTATAAATGCCTTCTGTCTGGTGACGCTAGGAAGCAGTTGCTGCTCCACCTGTCCCAACTTCTATACTCTGCTCTCATTTTGACTTTAGAGGTATTTGAAGTATCATTTTTAATTATAGGTAATTAAAGTGGTAGGGCTAGGCATGCTGATGGCACTTGTCTTTGAGGATTTCTTATAGTTGTATCTTTTTTAATGAAGAAACTAGACTAAGATTCAAATAGTTTTATGTTTGTACAAGATTGTAATTTAATTTTTTTACACCACTGTCATAGCCAATGTTTCTGTTACTGGTATATTTTGTAACATACTGAATTTATATGTGTTATGTAATGGGAGAGTGTCTTTTGATACAATTTAGGGCTTTAGCAAACCAGTGTCTTAAGTGTACTATGGTAGTTGTATAGTGACCATTTTAAAATTGATTTAGAGCTTGAGAGTCTGTCCTTTGTACCTTCTTGATCTTAACAGTTAAAGAACTTGGATTTGGAAAAACATATTCAACAGTGAGCATCCTTTATACAACTGTGAAGATATGTCACTTCCTTTTAATCTTGGGGTATTTCTTGTTTTGGATGTTACTTTGGGATATCAGAGGGGTTTTTTGTTTTTGTTTTTTGTTTTTTCTTCTTCTATCGATCTTTGTCCACATGATTGTTAAAGTCCTCCTTTTGTATTACTTTGTGGAAGCACAGTATCAGAATTTAAATTGTTGGCAGAATTTGAATTATTTTCTATACTTTGTGAGCTTAAATGCTTCCGTTGTCATTGCTGGCGATAAGTACATTTTCTGATTATGGTTATATATGTTGGACTTCTCTTTTCAGAAAAACATGTGAATGTGAAATATGATTGTTTTAAAAACCTTGTCAGTGTTACTCAAAACATCTTACTGATTTATGTATGGGGAGAACAACTCAGTATATATTAAACTATTTTATATCATTGAAAGCCCTAGACTGAAAACACTTTAGATTTAGAGCCCACATTAGCTAGCAGTTTAGTATTCAAAAAGCTGAAATTAGTGAAGCCAATGTTCTTTTGTAATTGACCCACTGGATAATTCTGTTAATTATTTGAATCTATGACCAATATTTTAAAAGAAATAGAAAACGTTTGCCTTTTTATTTTTCAGAAACATAATTTTTTAAAAGTAAAATGTTCTATTTTAGAATTTTTTGAACTACAGTTTAATTTCAAAGAATCCAGTAAACGAGTTGACCTATTGAGTAGAGATTAATATTTATAATTGTTACAACTCTTGTATTGATATTATACCATTGTTAAAACTGCAGACACTAACTGGGCTTGCAGTTTTATGAAAAGGAACATTATTACAGTTATGTTGCTCAACTAGCTGATGTTCATGACACAGGATTCTAACAGCATCTGTTTTTCTTCCCCTTCTGTCATTCCAACATCTCTTTTGCGAACTGTGAACTACAGTGGAAGACAAGCATTCCAGCGATGCCAGTAGTTTGCTCCCACAGAATATTTTGTCTCAAACAAGCAGACACAATGACAAAGACTACAGACTGCCAAGAGCAGAGACTCACAGTAGCTCTACGCCAGTACAGCACCCCATCAAACCAGTGGTTCATCCAACCGCTACCCCAAGCACTGTTCCTTCCAGTCCATTTACTCTTCAATCTGATCACCAGCCAAAGAAATCATTTGATGCTAATGGAGCATCTACTTTATCAAAACTGCCTACACCCACAGCTTCTGTCCCTGCACAGAAAACAGAGAGAAAAGGTATGCTGTTACTACTAGAACTGTAGGTTCTAAAATATTCTTTCCTTCTGCTCAAGTAGGACTCTTACATAATAAAATACTTTTTAGTTTTTTTTTTTTTTTTTGTGATATTAGGTAGATGTAGGCCTTAAATTAATGGTTTGGGTTTTTCTTTAATTTAGGACTCAACATTTTGTTTTTGGTCTTTGATACTAAAACCATTTAGTTCATACTGTTTAGTTGTTATTTTAATAACGTTACATTTAGATGGCACAGTGCATTATTATTTGGATAAAATATTTTTCAGGTTTTGTGGCTGTTACCTAGATAGCTTGGGAGATTGTGTCCATTTTCTCTTAAAGACATTTTAAAGCACTGTTTTCCACATAAGGCAGAAAATAAAGTGAATCTGACCTTACTTCTATGAGATCTGAGAACTGGAAGGAAATGTTACTACACGAACTGCCTTTATACAACTTATTATAATATCCTTAGCATGCTTAAAAAGTTAAAGTTGTAGCAAGAGCTGCTTGGGAGTGGTAGACACCACGGGCAGTCCTCAAAAATCCCCTTGCATAAGGCATTCATAATGATATGGTTTCCAATCTCAGGGTAGTAAAAGGGAATCTGTAAATAATCTCAATTCCATCTATACTTGAAACTGCTGACTCATGTCAGTTGATGTGTTGGTCTGTGGAAGTGTGCTATTGTTTTGTTTTTCCTCTGTGTGATCCACTTCAGTGTCAGTAGCCCACAGGCATAGAGGTCAGGCAATAGGTAGGAACCAGTTTGCTCTAGCATGAGACAATATGAGAGGCCCAGTGTGCTGTATTAAATGATGTATGAGCAAGATCTTAGGTTTTCTCTCCTTCAGTGATGCTCTGTCCTGAGCCTTGACAAACAGTGAGACAATTGTGGTTTGTTGTACAAACAAGGTGGGAGGAGAACACCTGAAATAGCGGATAACAAATGTCTTAGCATTGGAAAAATGTGCTTAAAATGAGGGACCCTGAGTGTATGTGTTGTGCATCTATAATTATGTTCTCACAATGGGCGTAATTAATGGACTTGTGTTTAACAGCAGCTTGTGTTTGCTTGATCAGAAGTGTAAGAAAACATGAACCTCATCATTTTTTCAGGAAATAGTGTTGTTAACGTGAAATGGTGTCCTAATGTTTTATCTGCATCTGCTTAGGTGACTGAGCATGTCTTGGTTAGCTTGTCTTATGATACAAACAAATAATAGACAAACATTTGATCTATCAGAAATACAAAAGTGTTTTTTTGTCAAATAGAACCCAATGACCTTTTTAAACTGCTCTAATGTCCCTTCTAATTGTAAAGTCCTTTTAAGAGTTGTGAAATCACAAAACAAACAATAGATGTGAGTTCTTGTATTTTATTCTGGTCAAGGAAGCACATGTATTTCATTTAGTAATTTAACGGGATGCCTGTTTATATTGCTAACACAAAGCAACTATGGAAGCAGACCTGCTCAAAGATCTCATGCCAGCTGTAAGCACATCTAAATCACATAGTTAACAATCTGGTTCAGTAGATACTTACTAATATGCAGGGTTCTTAGTCTAAAATTCCTTATTCTGATTTATGATATCCCCAGACTAAGTAAAATATGACAGAGCTTACTATATGTTTGGGTAGTGATGGCCTTTTGTTGCTGACATAAAAATGGACATTGACTGACTAAAGTGGACCAACCTCAGCATCCTGTCTCTTGTTTTAAATAAAATACCTTTAATGGTACTAAATATCTTCATTAAAAAAAAAAAACGAGAGATTGATTTAGAAAAAGAAAGTGTTGAATATATACTTGTCAATGTGGTAAAGTATTTTTTGTAATCAGTTTAAATTTCGCCAACTTAAATTGTTTGCAGTGTTTCAAAGTATGCTTAACTTCTACATTTTTGGTAGCAGTTTTAAAAATGTAACAGACACAACCTTGTAAAAAGAATATTAGAAAATTATTGCTCATATGGTAAACATGGAAATGCTTGTTTACTTCTTTACAGATTGATAAATTTCACTGTTAGATGAAAAAAACAAGGTTAGGAGAGTATTATTAAATTGGAATAATGTATTTATTTGTGAGGACAGAAAGCTGAGGATGTGTTACATTTGTTCTTTTGGTATGGCAAATAGCTTTAAAAAAAATTTTTTTTTTTTAAAATTGTAACTTCCCCCATTGAGAGGGGTGGTACCAAGAATCGAACTGAGGACTTAACACATATAAGCATTCTCCCTACCACTGAACTATGTTGACACTGTGCTTAACTTGCAGATTTCCTCAGTTGAATGGAAGTAACAATTGCCAGCTATTTTTGTGTTTATACATTTGTAGAAAAAGATGTGTGTGTTCACAAATGTGTGCTTGTGTGTTGACAGCAGCTGGTGTTACCTAACCATTTTGTTTTCTGCTCTGTGTTGGTCACGAAACAAAACACTTGTACAAAACAAGAGTATGATTCTTTTTTGGAAGCAGGGTTTCTCTGAGCTTTGGAGCCAGTCCTGGAACTTGATCTGTAGACCAGGCTGGCCTCGAACTCACAGAGACCCTTCCTGTCTCTGCCTCCTGAGTGCTGGGATTAAAGGCATGTGCCACCTCTGGGTGGCGAGAATATGATTCTATAGCAGTACTATGAGCTCTGTGTATTATCTGCACACTCTGTTGCCCTAACACCACAGGGAATTAATTAGTATCATTATTACCTGAGTCTTAAAATCATATAATATGCCAGAAGAGAGTTGTCAGGTTAGAAAAGTGCAGATCAGAAATAAGTTCCGACCAGTTTCTCTCTTCCTCCCCCACCCCCCTTTTCCTTTTCTCCTTTAAAAAGGTTGTTTGGAAGAGTTAGCAATAGAACAGATTTCTTTCAAGTTTTGATGTAGGTAAATTCCTCCCTCTTCTGGCAAAATTTGGAAGTACAAGTCTACTATTTATAAGTAATATAAGTAAAAGCACAAAGGAAAGGGAGTTACACCTCTCATGGGAATATAGTTTAAAAGTGGTGCATGCCCTGCTTTGTATTACATTATATGTTATTACATAATTTAAGCAATTGTAATAAGCAGTCACTTAAATGTTAGCACTCAGAAGCAAACATCTATTTGTTTTGGAGACAGGGTTTCTCTGTGTCGCCTTGGTTGTCTTGTAACTCGCTGTGTAACCAGGCTGGCTTTGAATTCAGAGATTTGCTTGCCTCCTGAGTGTTGGGAGAAATGGTATGAGTCACCACCACCTGGCTTTGTTTTGCACTTTTTTCTTGTCTGTTTCTTCCTTTTCTTTTTCTTTCTTTTTTTGAGATACCCAGTCTCTGGTTGCCCTGGAATTTTGGATTGTTAACCAACCTGCCCTCAAATTCAGAGGTCTAGCTGCCTGTGTTTCATGGGATTAAGGCTGCTCTCTACTGGTATACTATATTCCAGTCTCCACTTTCTTTCTTTATGGTGTCATTTTTCCTGAGTTTCATTTATTTGGTATAAAGGACAACACTGCAGAACTTTTAAGTTCTTACATTTCAAAGCTCTTGATCTAGACACAGTATCATCAACACAAAACTGCTAACTTTTTGTAGCTTCACTAACATTACCCTGCCTATCAAGGTGGCAGTCTCTTCAGTGAAATTGTGTATAATGCCATAGGAATGTAAGTACTGGTGTAATGATTTATGCAATAATAAAATAACATTTGTTTCTCTGAAGAAAGTAAAAGAATCCTTTTAAGGGACAGGATCTAAAAAACGTTGCAAATTATAATTTGTACAAATAAATTTTAATGAGTACAAATAAGGATAAGGTGTAATAGACTCTTAAACCACAGTAGGTGTCAACAGATTTTCCTAAAAAAGAAATTATCATTTCAGTAATGTTCCTTTTGTGTATGAACCCAAACAAGCAATGCTAGAAATGATAGGCATAGGCAGTCTGCTGAACTTAGGGTTTGAAAACAATATTTAAGGATTTTTGAGGTGATAGATTGATTAGCATGTCTATGAAATATACTTCAAGTTGCTTTGAAATACACACATTAGAAAGGTGTTATTCCTAGTTCTCTGACCATGGAGTTGGTATTGGGAATAACTGATACTCAGCAAGCTTATCGTAATTTTCAATTTCTCTGGGGCCATGAAAGTTGCTTGTTCCTAGAATTGAATACGGATGTTTAAGATGTGAATTAGCAGTGCAATTCTCATGCAAATGGTTCTTGACACACATAGCCTCTTAGCTTCATATGTGCAATCTTAGCAGTCATATACATGATTTTTAAGTGGATATATAGAGGAAGTGATGCTTTAGCAAATGTTCATAGTCAATTGATTGGTTGATTAATTCATTGCTTGGTTGGTTTAGAGACAGGCTTTCACTGTAGCACTGGCTGTCCTAGAACTCTGTAGGCTAGGGTGGCCTCAAACTCAGGAGATCCACCTACTTTTGACTCTCAAGTGCTAGGATTAAAGGTGTGAGCTCCCGTTGCCACCTTATTTACCAGCTGTGAACTAAAATAAAGAATAGTGCTTAATTATGGCGATTGAATGTATATGTGTACACACATACATACACACTCACACACACATAAATATACAGGTGTGTGTTTGTATGTGTGTGTGTCTCACAGTCTCTGTAAAGGCATATGTATATCTAAGAGCAGTTTCAAGTCGTGAAGGACTTATATTCACTTTTTCTAGATGTCATGAATTATATTCAGTGTGGCTCCTTCAGAATTGTTAATCAAATGCTTCTGTTATTATAAGCATCTAGTATTTTGTTAGGTTTAATCTTTGCCAGTGTGATGAGTCTGTTTTTCTGAGTTGGCCTTTTTCTGTCTATTTAGAAATTCTTTTAAACATATCCTGGTTTGCTATTAATACTAGACAGAGTCTTGCTAATGTTGCCCACGCTGGCCTGGAATTTGCAATGTTTCTGTTTCATGCTTTCAGTCAACTCTTAGAATTTTAAAGACACACACAGTCACATAAGTTAAATTGGGTAGTTCTTAGTCTAACTGGAGATGTCTTGCTGGAATTAAAGTCCTTATATTTACACTTTGTTAAATGCTATGAAGGTCATTCTGTTAGTATTTCATGTTCAGGTACAGTGAATGTACACATGTGGAAATGGCAGCCAGGAAATGGGACCCTTCTTTATTTTTATTTAAAGGCCTGATAAGAAATATTAATGTTCACTGTACAATTTACAACTTAAAACTACAAAACTTGTTCCTAGTGTTTATCATTCATCTTGCCTTTAGCTCATTTTGGTCATGACTGGCCTATCTGGTACCAATCTGTTAATGCCATTGTCTGTTGGTTATTGCTATGCTGCATGCATATAGGTGTTTTTGACCTCATTTGATATGGTACATAAGTCCTGTACCCTTGTTATATTTTATCAAATTCTTTGTATGTATGTTTGGTATATAGCCATATTGCAGTATGATTTTCACATTATACATGGAGGTCATTTATCAGCTTTTAAGATTTAAGCAACTAGAATCTTTCATTTTCTAGTTTCTCACTGGTAAACAGGGATGTGAAATTATCTATTTCCTGAGGATCAAATACAGTTTGTATTAAGTGTGTAGCACATGGAAGATATTACTGTGATGGTGTTGGTTTAGTTTCTGATATTGACAAATATTTTGAGCCTTATATGTCTTTTATTTAGAATCTGCTCCAGGAGACAAATCAGTGTCACATTCTTGCACAACTCCTTCCACATCTTCAGCCTCTGGCCTGAACCCCACATCTGCACCTCCAACATCTGCTTCAACAGTACCTGTTTCTCCTGTTCCACAGTCACCAATACCTCCATTACTTCAGGACCCAAATCTTCTTAGACAGTTGCTTCCTGCTTTACAAGCCACGCTACAGCTTAATAATTCTAATGTGGACATATCCAAAATAAATGAAGGTAAATAGTCATAGTAATAGCTTTTGAATATTATTATCTTCATTATAAAAAATTATTTATAAAATTCTCAACTTTATGATTCATGACTTTTTTTTCCCTTTTGAAATTGGTGTTGGAGGATTGCTGCTTTAGTATTGACACCTGATGCCCTTGGTAGTATGATTTAGTTAGCAGTGTTGTTGTATAGGTTTTAAATCTTTTAATGTGAAGATCTTAGAAATTCTGCCCGAGAAGTATATCCTAGGTAAATTTGCTAGTGTTTGCTTTTATTTGTTCTTATTAGTGTTTCTGTTGCTTGGTTTGTTTAATCACATCCATTTTTAATTTGATTTTTCCATGTTTCTAAAGTATTTGAGTCATCTTGTAGAAATGTAAGGAAAATGGAACTAGTTTAAATTTGAAACAATTTAAAAATTAAGTCATACAAGGCAAGGTTAATTAGTCTATTTGTGCATTTTCTCTTTAACAGTAGTGTAAAGTGATTTATATTAATCCGAAAGCTAGAGCATTCTCGAACTGGTTTTCTTGTTACTCTCACCTTCTTGGTGTTTTTATTTTATTCTGCAAGATAACTTGTAATTCTTTTGTTTTGTTGGTAAATGTTTTTATATAAACAGCCTGAAATCATAAAACAGTCTAAAAGCAATCCTAGGCATCAAAAGTGCATGTTGTTCCTAAGTGCTAGCTGTTTTTAAAACATGATAAGAATTGGTATATAAGGCTTGATTGGTCGGCTTGTTGAAAAAAACAGTCTTGTGAAATAGTGACCATTTCTTTGGTTGTTTGCCAATAATGTACTAAGCACTAACTTGCGTAAGCTCCCATTGTTCTTGGCAACATTACTAGAGTCAAGATTTTTGGCTTACCTATATTGTGAACATATTCTCTTTCTCCCATCATTTCAAGTCTTTATAACCATTATATCACTGTGTGTCAGGCTTTCATTTAGAACATTTTATGAAACCAGTTTGTCTATTTTATTATTGCTATTTGATACCTATGAGTTTCAGGTTATTACTAAAGCCAGATTTTGAATGTTTTAAGTTCTTACAGCAGCTGTAACACAGGCTTCCCTGCAGTCTATCATCCACAAGTTTCTTACTGCTGGACCGTCTGCTTTCAACATCACTTCTCTGATTTCTCAAGCTGCCCAGCTCTCTACACAAGGTAATCTTTTTTCCTCTTAGGTTATTTATAAGATTGTTGTGGTGAGTTATCCACCCCGCTGGCACATGTTGCACTGACCATGCCCATTGGGGTGTGGGGACAGGTGTGGGCGTGACTAGGTCTGGGGTCCTGGATCATAGCTCACTCTCTTCTGTTTGGAGAGAGCATCTGAAGGCATCCTTGGAACAGAAACCTGCGGGCAGTCATCTGTTTCTGGTGTAAGTGATTTCTTCCAAATAAACATCCATCAGCCTATCCTTCCCCAGATTCTTATTTACCACACATTACATTGTCTTTCCATTTTGTGTTGTTTTGAAATTAAGGGAAAGTTTGGTTTTAGTTTGAGAAAATATTACTTATGACTTTGTTTGACTTTTCATATTGGCATGCTTTTGGATGTATTTATTTCCTTCATTTTATACTTTGGTACTTATCTGTGTGGATCAGTGTATTTGTAACATGTCATATATTTTTAATCAGTATAAATTACTGAGGTGACTTTTTCTTGAAGCAGAAAGCAAACTATACTATACATACTCAGTCTTTTCTGAAATGTCTCATACACTTGAGGACATGGAAGTTTGCTTTGGGTTATTGATAGACAATTTTTGACTAGATGGTGCAGAAATCATTTTTGATTTTGTTTAAGTTTGTGTCTCCCCTCAAATGTATGCAAAAGGGGAGATGTAGCACAAGGGTCTCTGTCACAAAGTTCACAAACAAAGCAGACACAGCGTGTTGAATAGAAGTTTAATGATAGAAGTCCATCTGGATAGCCACATGTAGCATGGAACTATGGATACTTCCTGAGCCTAAGTGGAGAATAAATATGAACTAAGGATGCTGAGGAGGCTACTGTGTGAGAATAGGGTTATGTTTAGCTTCCCAGTGTCAGAAGGAAGGGAAGTTGTTCTCAGGGTTGTAGGTTTGTTTCTTCATTGAGGACATCAGATTCTGATAGATTCACCTGGGTATCTCTGCAGTGTGTAGAATGACACAGAAAACCTTATTACATATACACACACTCAAAAAAAAAAATAAATTGTTTGGTGATGATTTGAAATTAATTACTTTATTCTTTCACAGCCCAGCCATCTAATCAGTCTCCGATGTCTCTAACATCTGATGCTTCATCCCCAAGATCCTATGTGTCTCCGAGAATAAGCACACCTCAAACTAACACAGTCCCCATCAAACCTTTGATTAGTACTCCACCTGTTTCATCACAGCCAAAGGTATGTCACCTCTGTAGAAATTATGGAAATGTCTGACTTGTAGAAATGGTAACATTTAGAATCTACATCTCAGGAAATGTCCCTTGAGAATGAGGTATCAGTGTAAAGAATAACTAGTGGGTTACATTAGATGGATCAGCATGGATGAGCAGACTTGAATCTGGGTATTATGATGTATTCCTGATTATTTTGGTGATTGTGACATGGAATTCTGGATAAGCAGGGTCTATGAGAAAATTGTATTTATCAAATTTCTAAACTCTTGGTTTTATTGTTATTGTTTGTTTGGGGGTGGGTTTTTGTTCTCTTAAAATTTCATTTTAAAGGTGAACCACCTTCTCATAAGAATTTACATTTTTAAAATTTTGCCTCAGAATCATATGCTGTTTGCATCACTTAGTGAAATTAAATTTTTGGGTAAATCTAGTTTTTGTAGTAGGGTTAGAATTAAAAAGGTTCCTTCTGAATATAGAGAGGATTTTTCTAAGCATCACTGACTGTTTAGGTACAAAAACCTTCCCTAAATGTCTGCTTAGAATACAGTTTTAAAATATAACTGGAGTATAATTGGATTTTACTATTACACTAATTTTGGCATCTATCACATATTTGCAATTCATAAATGAATGCCAGTTGTCGTCACTCTGCTCCCCCCTTTCCCCCCAAGTTTATGTGTGCAGGCTCGTGTACACACATGGAGTTATCTTCAGTTGTTCTCCACCTAATTCACTTTCTTCAGTTGAACTTAGATGTTATGACTAAGGCTAGTGAGGCTGGCCTATTTGATCCAGGAATCCTGATCCTGCTTTTGAGTGCCGGTTTCCCAGTTTGGCTCCTGTGCTTGGCTGGGACTCCGAGATCTATCTTGACATTTGTATAGCAAGGCCTTTCTGCACTGAGTCATCTCCACTTGAGGTTTAGAGCTTCATGTCTCTAAAGGTTGTGGACTAATATTTTTGTTATTCCTTGTTTTTAATGATAAAGGGAAAAATTTTTCAGAGTGAATTATTAAAAATTCATTTTCTTTAAATATGACATGTCATATCTTCCATTTTCAGCCTCTTATTCTATCTATAGCATAACATCTTTTAAAGATTTCTCAAATTGAGTAACATTGTGTGTGTGTGTAGGTGGATATATGTACACACACACATATCTTATATATCATATACATATATATATATATCATATACACATAGCTTCTAACTAATACATTTTGATAGGTGATATATATTTATATATTTTATATATATTATATTTTATAGAAATCATAAAGAGAAATGCTATATAGTTTATTTTAAAACTGCTGAATAATAGTTTTTTCCTGTTTGTGCTAGTAATGTACTTTGGTGATTTTTTTTTTTTGGGGGGTGGGGGGGAACTATAAGGCATTTTATAAAACATTTCAGAATTTAATTTTTGGGCAGACTGATTACTAAGTTGTTATTACTTAAGAGAGATGGGAGTTTGGTTTCCAGCACTCAGTTTCGGTGGCTCACAGACATTTAGAACTAGTTCCAGGAATCTTAATACCCATTTCTCACCTATATGGGCAAGCATGCACACAAAATAAAGCAACTTTAATTTGACTTTGTGAAAACAACTAATTGTATATTGACTAGATGTGTGGGTAAATGTATAATTAGCAACCAAACAGACATCACCAGTATTAATGTAATGAAACAATTATGACAGCTCTGGTAATGGTATTAGAATGCCATTGCTATTAGAATATTATTTTGTTTATTTAATTTTTTTGCTGTTTGTCTGTGTGGATAAAAGCCTGTCTTACCAAATTTTGACATTTTAGGTTAGTACTCCAGTAGTTAAGCAAGGACCAGTGTCACAATCGACCACACCGCAGCCTGTAACTGTTGATAAGCAGCAGGGTCATGAACCTGTTTCTCCTCGGAGTCTTCAGCGCTTAAGGTTAGTTGGTGTGTTGAGGATGTTGTTTGTTTGTTTTTAATATGCCATCCTGTGTTGTTTGAGCAGGGTGTCCATGTTGGAATATGTATAATGTAAGAACTTACTGACAGATTCATGGGTGGCTTCATTCATTGAACAAGTTACATGATTTATAAAGACTGTACAAAGATTAGGACTGGATTAATTAAAGAAAGTGACTCATTTAAATTTAACTAGATGGAAACTAAAATAATTGCTTATGCAAGGAAGGTACATGTTTTCATGCTTGGCACTAATATTAATGAAGTAAAATATGAAAGCCCTCACCTCCAAAGTTGGTGTGTTGCACTTTCCTAGTATATTCAAATCTCACCTTTCTTACACAAATCACTTTTAATATTGTTATAAAGGATTGTATTGTGTTTGCTCTCGTGTTTATTATAATACAATTGAAATGAAATATGTGGAATAGTTTTTTATTTTTTTCCCCTATTTTTCTTGCTATGAAGTGGCAAAATAATTGAGCTTTTTTGTGTTTGTTTGCTTTGCTTTGTTTTGTTTTTGTTTTTTGAGATGAGTTTCTGGCTTTTCTAGAACTCTCTTTGAGGCCAGGCTGGCATTCAACTCACAGAAGTCTGCCTGCCTCTGTTGGCAGTAAAGGTGTGTACCACCACTGCCCAGCTTCAAATGTTTTTTTGTGTTGTTTTTTTCTGAACAAACATTTAAGAATTTATACATCCATATGAGAACTTACATATACAATTTATACATCCTTTGAGGTAATCACCTTTGGGAGCTCCCTATTTTGACAGTGTACCCATTGCTCAGAATTTTGGGAAATTATTCTTTAAATAACCCTTAGAGGATGCAGTATTATTTTAAGTATATCCTCAGTGCTGAAAGCTCTTCATCTTTTGGGAAGTTTACTTTTTGAAAATAACTGAAATTGTTTTTAGCACCAACTTTGGTGAAGCAGGTAGGAAATCAGTTTGAGCGACTGCAAGTTTGGCTTTCACCACCATGTATCCCTAAGCCCTGGCCCCAACCATTCCGTTTTAAAGGAAGACAGCTAAGTTAGTGTGCTGCTTTATTTCATCAATGTGCTCACTCGAGTTCTCTAATGAAATGCCGGTTTTTTCCCTGGTGCTGTCTCACCCTTACATTCAAGAATACTTTATACCAGACAGATACAGACCTCTCTTTAATCAGACATTTATAAAGGTGTTCACATGTGCCTTACATTTGTGACTGAAAAAAAAATTTGACCTTTGTTTTATGTTTGTCATATTTGGGGTCAACTATTCTGTTTTCATTTGTAATTTCAGTTTTAAATTTGATATAAACAGTAATGTTCTAAAAACTATAGTATCTTAATATATTTTGGATCAGCAAGTCTAGTGGATCATTTGAAAAGACAAATTTTTGTAAGATTTGGATATTTTTAAATTAATACACATTGTTTTCATAGTATATTCTAGAAATTAATTTCAAGCCCAATATGCATTCACTATGTTTTCTCATGCAGCAGCCAGAGAAGTCCATCACCTGGTCCAAATCATACTTCCAGTAGTAATGCATCAAATGCAACAGTTGTAGCACAGAATACTTCTGCTCGGCCTGCGTGTTCATTAACACCTACGCTAGCAGCACATTTCAATGATAATCTCATAAAACATGTTCAAGGGTGGCCTGCAGACCATGCAGAGAAACAGGTATGTCTCTCCCTTTTGCTGATCTAAAATTTACTACATGAATGCAAAGCTAGATTGGAACTTAATACCAATACCTTATCACTTCCTTTGATAGAATTCTAGGATGATAGATAAAGACTAAAACCATACCTAATCTTGACTTTTTATTTTTAAGAACCCTGAAGGAAAAGTTAAAGCACCTTGCACCATTAAAAAACGTTTTGTGCTTATGTGTGCAAGGTTTTATTCTGTACTTTTTAGTGTAAGTTTGTACATTGTTTTGTGCATGATCATATTTTACATGAGCTTCATTTCTTTTAACTATAGGCATCAAGATTGCGTGAAGAAGCCCATAATATGGGAAGTGTTCACATGTCAGAAATATGTACTGAATTAAAAAATTTGAGATCTTTAGTTCGAGTATGTGAAATTCAAGCAACTTTGCGAGAGCAGAGGTAGGTTTTTCACTGGTGTTTGTGTGTTCTACCATATGAGGAATCTGCAATAATTGTTTCTTGGTTTTTAAGGAATGGGTTTAATAAGCATATTGTTAGCAAAACTAAAAGAAGAAAGCAGATATGTTGGTAAGAAAAGAGCAGATCAGTTGATAAATTCCTAATTGAGAGAATTTCAGGCAAAGCACTGTACAGGTAATTGGTGAGCTTCTGCCTTCCATTGTTCTACAGACATTTTACCCCATGTTTTAAACAATAAGTCGCTTGCATTTGGAATGACTATCTAATAGCTATTCTTTAACTGTTCTTCTTTTTCCTGGTCATGGGATTGGGAGCTGGCTTGCCTCATGAAAGGAAAGGCTCAAGACACTTGAAATAATAAATGTGTTGATAGTTTAAATGGCACATGACAACCAATATAATGTCTATACCTCTATGTGTATTCCAGAGGCTGACATCTGGTATCTTCTCAGTTGCATGCCACCCTTATTTTGGAGGCAGGGTCTTATAGACCTTAGAGGCTGTCTGGCCAGCAAACCACAAAGATCCTCGTGTCTGTGCATCTCCAATGCTGGGATCACAGAGACATGCTGTCACACCTAGCTTTTTAACCTGTATTCAGGGAGTACATACTCAGATTCTCATCTTTGTGCAGCAAGTGCTTCCTTGACTGAACCATTTTTTCCAACCACTAAAATAATTATCCTTGTAAGAATGATACATAGTGGTTTTCTCCTGCCCATATTTGCCCATCAGATAGGTAAGACTGATAAGTAGCAAATGCCATCATTTATTGTGGTCAGTGTTGCCTGGAGAGGTGTTAACTTTGTTCATAGGTTTTCCAGTATGAATAATAATAGCAGAGTCAGCATGAATTTCTTTTATTTACCTGCTACATAATTACATTCTTTCTAAAGTTTGGTTACTCCAGTTCCTGAAGTTTTTTTAACTTGTTAAGCTTTTCACTTATTTAAGGGAGCGTTTAGTGACTTGTTGATGTCCTGCTGGAGGTTTCAGGGTCTCATGATGGAGGTACCAGCATCATGCCTGTGTTAGGGCCTTATTTAGTAAATGGAGGCTTCTTGAATACAGACACTGAAGGTCAACCTGATATTCAAGAATTGGGACTAAGTGATTAATAGCTAGGGGATTCCATGTGCTGCTTTTTTATACTGTACAAGGTGATGTGTCACATCTAGGGGTGGGCAGGGAGAGAAGGACTCAGCTAAGAACAGCACAGTTTAAACTAGGCAGTTCATTTCCTAAGCTTTTCAAATTTAAAGTGAACACAGAAGGCCTTGGGTGATTTGATGTGACAGTTGCTTGATTAAGGCAAAAGCTCCTTGTTGGTGTCAGTCTCTGACCTAAAGAAGGGACAGCTCATGAGTGTAGAATGACCTTATGAGATAAATAGGAAATTTATTGGAAGAATCACCATTGTCTATTTCAAGGTTTAGCTCACCTGATTTTAGGTCAGAGGCAATAATTACCTGAGTCAAGTTGGATCTTCATGATCTGTAATTGTATCATGTTCTAGAAATATTTTTGTAATTTAGTCTACTTTCTGAGTTCTATGGTGCCTTGACTTCCCATTAACTCATAGTTTCTCTCTGTCTCTTTTTCTTTCGAGATAGGGTTTCACTGTTGCTCTATAGGTTTGGAGGCTGTCTTAGAACTCACTCAGTACACCACTCTAGCCTGCCTCTCCCTCCTTGAGTGCTGGGATTAAAGGCGTGTATCACCACCACCTGGCTAACTATTTGGGGTTTTCGTCTTAGGTTTATAACTCTGTACTCCTTGGTTTATAATTCTGCTTCACAGTGATCCATTACTTTAAAAAAAGAGATGATGATGTCAGCTTAATTAGAAATGTCCCTCTTGATTTAAAGTTAGCTATAGATTATGTGGTTTAGTTGGCTCGGTTAAAGTCTTAATCTGTTTATATTTTTAGGTCCTTTGGAAATAAAGTCAGTTATATTGTGTGGCCAGATTATAGTGTTTCTGTAATATTAGTAGTACTTTCCCCTGTGCTTGTTCTGTTTATCTGATATTTCACAAAGATAATATTAGGTAGCATAGGTATAATTTGAAACATGTGGAACTTTGAAATGATATTTTATTTGGCACAAGTTTTATCTACATATGCAGTAATTATCCTAGTTTATTGGATTCTTGTCTAATTCTAATCTTAACAATATTATGAGCAAGAATAAATGGAATATATCTTTATGTCATAGTTACTACCTACCTTTTTAACACATAAGTTTCAAATCATTCTGTATATTTGAGGTAAATATTGAAAAATGCTAGGAAACGGAGTTTTCCAGCTCTTCCAATATTTTAATGTATGATATGTTAAGTTCTCTGAACTATAATAAGACTTTTTAATCATTCAGTATTAGTATTCATTTTATATTGCCATAGTTTTTTGTACATACAGAGCTTAATACCTGCTTTTATTTTCCAGGATACTATTTTTGAGACAACAAATTAAGGAACTTGAAAAGCTAAAAAATCAGAATTCCTTCATGGTTTGAAGATGTGAATAAATGCACATGGTATCCTACAGGAACTGTAAATCTGTTGCCCAGTCATAACATTTTTGAGCTGCATCTAAGTAGACTGTGGACCGTTAAGCTGGGCAAATGAAATGACAAGGGGACGGGGGTCTGTGAGAGTCTTTTCAGGGGAAAGATACAAGATTGATTTGTAAAACCCTTGAAATGTAGATTTCTTGTAGATGTATCTTCACGTTGTAAATATGTTTTGTAGAGTGAAGCCATGGGAAGCCATGTGTAACAGAGCTTAGACATCCGAAACTAATCAATGCTGAGGTGGCTAAATACCTAGCCTTTTACATGGAAACCTGTCTGCAAAATTAGTTTTTTTTTTTTTTTTTTTTTTAAAGAAAAAATTTGGGGGGGTTAATTTATCATTCAGAAATCTTGCATTTTCAAAAATTCAGTGCAAGCGCCAGGCGATCTGTGTCTTAAGGATACAATTTTGAGCAGTGTATAAATATCATGAGACAACTAACTGTTCCGCACTTGCACCTGATCAAGAGCAGTGCTGCTCCATTTGTTTTGCAAAGAGATGTTTTCATTTCCTGTATGTTCCATTCCCTCTGAAGTCCTTGGCCTGATTTTATCCATTTTTTAAGGTGCCCCTTCTCCTTTCTTAGGGCACTGTTGCTGTGGCACTTTTCTATAACCTTCTCATTCCTGTGTACAGTAGCTGGAATTTGCAGTGATTGAGCATAACCCACATGTTTGTATAAATTATTGAAATCCATTTGCACCCTGTAAGAATGGACTTAAAAGTACTGCTGGGCAAGTGTGCTGAAAGTACACTGACTGCTCAAACATAAGGAAGTGGCCCAATGAACGTGGTTGTGGGAGGGGAAGAGGAAGCAAAGCTAGTCAGATGTGAATTGTATCTGTTGTAATAAACATGTTTAAACAAATGAATTTTGTTACTTTCTTTTCCTTCGGTCAGTGCATATTAGAATTTGAACTACATGGGGATTCTTTATCAAAACTATTCTTGTTGAATATTTATATCTTACTACAGTAATTCCTTTAAAGGGAGATTTTGTTTAAAGCATATTAATAAATTGTGCAAACGATATTTAATGAATGTGAAATTCAACAAGAATGACGAAGTCACTTCCCACATGGTGTCATTTGTTCAACCTGGTTTACCTGTCTTGCTGTTATGACACTTCATTTTGAAGGATGTTTGTGTTGTAGCTAACTGTTCAAGTCTGGTGCTGACTGCTTTTTCTTAGCCATCACAAAACGCTCAGTTTGTGTAATTGGAGTTTCCTGCTGTTATACAGAAATGGTGGGAAAACTCAGCTTTGTATATTGTTTCCTAAAGTATATTAAAATAAAAAAGAAACTATTGCTACTATAAAACTCCCTTGCCTTTTTTCCCCCCTTTGCTTTAGAAAAAAAAAAAAATATATTAGTTACATGTCCTTAGCATGACACTGCCGGTGTTGTACCAAATCACAGAAATTATTGTGTAGAAAAACCTTTTAATCTCAAAATTGAAACATCCAGCTTAAGAGTTTTGTTGCCATTGTTAGTGCAGACGTGTGCTTCCAGATGTGCCATCACCAAGGGCTGGTTTTCGTTTTGCTCTAAAATCAGTGTAACTTTTCTGAAAACCTGAATTCTAAAAATTACTTCTGTGCTATGACTATATTCATTTAATTATATTTAAGCTACATGAGGTATCATTGAAACCTTAAACAACAAATATTAAATGCTGATATTTTGTTTTCTGAGTGTTAATGGTGTGATGGAGAAGAGGGATAGCTTTACCCCTGAAGCTGACTTCATCTTGTTACTTACAAGACATTTTTAAACTTTAAGAAAAGAGACATGTCAGGTGTTAGGAGAAAATGTTCATACCTGTGGAGGTTTTTTCCCCCTCCCCAATCTGCTGAACTGTGTGCTTTTGAACACTTGAAGAACTATGTCAAGCTAAAACCTGGCTGTGCCATTTTTGGCAAATGGCTACAGATTTGTAGTGGAAGAAGTGATCATTTCTGGGTCAGGGACAACATAAATGCTTTTTGTTGTCGATACTCCATTTATTATTTTTTACTCTTCCTATTTGTTTTGATATTTACAGCCTTAAGTGTAAGTTAATTAGAGAAATTCTTAATTTTAAATTTCATCTAGTTTCATTTTTTATCCAGTTACATTTTTGTAGTGAAAAATTGCACTTCAATAGATATGCTCCTTTGTCTGGCTTCTAACCTCCTGAGGTGACTAAATCATATCTGTTAGAGCAAGGTGCAGTACCCTGAGTTAAACTTAGTTGCCATGCATTTGAACATGTAACCTGGTTTAAAGAATTTGAAAAATAGAAACTCTGGATAGCTCTAGAAAATCTTAGTTTCCCTCCTGCTCATTTAAAAAGTACTTAAACTTTGTAACTTACTGATAACACATGGGTGGTGATAAATCTGTCAGAAAATCATCCCCTGTAGAGAATTGGAATCTCTGTTTAGCTTTTTCAATTTAGTTCTTGGTTTCAAAACTTGGGGCTGTAAATAAAAGAAAAGAAAATGAAAGCACACAGAATACTCCACATTCAAATTTTTAAAGTTTTTTTTTTTTTTAATGGACAGCTTTATGTTTGTTTCATGTTTGCTTGTAAAATAATGTTAGGAGAGGCTTAGAAAACTTGCAAGTGAAATTGCTTTTCCTGTGTCATGTTCTGTTTATAAACACCTTATTTCTGAGGGTATTCTTCAGAGGGGAACGTGCAGGAAAGACTGTTTACTCTGCCTATCAGAGTCTTGAAGGTCCTGCTTCAAGCTACTGTAATTAGGTGCTGGGTTGAAATATCCAGAGTTCTTTTCAACACCTGTAAATATGGCTGTATTCTTGTATTTGTACAGACAGAAGTGTACAAAATGATACTAAAGAGTAATAAAAAATGTTTTGACTCTATTGTGCAATTATTTCAGAAATGTGTGGCAACAATCTTGATGGTAAAATTCTGTGTTTTTGTAGGAAATTAAAAATATTACTAGATAGCTACTTAAAATGTTGGTAGTCGGGTTTCAGTGATCTTTCATAATCTGAGTGAAAATTCCAAGAGCTGGGCATACAGTTTTGGCACACAATGTGTGTTTGAGTCCCAAGATTGATTCCCAGACACCTCCCTCTCTCAAAAGTGCAAATCCAGGTTGACTTTGGCATTTAGTTCCCATAGCACATTACTGTTTGCTCCTTGGGGGTGGGGGCCCTCCTGTATGCAGCTTGCCTTCATGGTCTCTGCTTGAATGGAGAACTCAGTTAAGATTTCTTCTGAACTGATCTGTGAGTTTTTGGCAACAGTCTGTGTAGACATATACTTTGATGAGGTGAGAACCTGGGAAAGACTTGCTATAGTTCTGGAAGGAAAGTCGGTAAGTCAGTCTGGCTTTACCTGTGAAGGGAAGGTGTCCTGAATACCTAACAGCTGTTAGGAGGAAGATAGCCTGACTTGTTGGGAAGTCAGGTAATTCCTGAAACTGGGGTCCAGTGGGGGTGGTCTCCCATCAGGATGTGCAACCTGCTCCCCTAAGGGAGCTTCCCAATAAAGGTTTCCCATTTCTTCTCAGTTACTTGTGCTTCTGCATGACTTAGGAACACCTAGCCTTATTCCTGAGGTAGAATTGTGTGGGTTAAGAGGTGATGGTTCCAGATTGTCCTAGATGTCTCCAATGGACATAACACCTTTGCATAGGTGATTGCTCCTTCACCCAAACAGATACTTATGATTTAGCACAAGAACAGGATGTATTTTGGAAATGTGCTATGATACATTTACTAGCAGATGGTTGCATTGTGAGAGTTGGCCTGCTTTCTTAAGTAGGTCTGAGTGGTTAGCCTGGTACTCTGTAAGTGCTTATTAATTGCCCAGTTTGGACTGAAAATCAGCTGATTCTCACTCCTTAGATAACACCTGGGTAACCATGGCAGGATGTAAGAACAATGGTTTTTAACCTGTGTGCATTGTTCCCATTCTCTGGAGGAATATAGTGGAGTCTATTTTTGAAGTGTATGCCCTTTATTTGCTCAATTGTTTTGGAAAATATTTAAAATTCATTCTTGAGTGAACAGCATCATGTACAAATTCAAATCTCAAATTTCACCTTTAGTCTTGGACATTTTAGATTTAAGTCATGAACAGAAAATATGGCTGCAGGACTAAAACTCAACACCAGTGCTGTTTCCAGCTGAATTTCCATGGATTACTTTCAGAAGCAGGTTTCCAAAAGGTCCTACCTAAAATAATTGATGAATTAATGATGAAATTGCAGAAAATGGCCTCAGATTTTTTAAAGGCAGATTATTCCTCCACACACAGAGGCAATAAGAAGCACCCATCCATCTTCTATGATCCAAGAAGTGATAGCCACAGTGAAAGGAATGTAGAGTCTGTGAGTGCAATGGAGCGCATTTGCTAGTCAGCCCATACCAATACCATGGTGTTAAATGGGGAAATACAAAGGAAATGACAGAAAGCTGGGCCTGAGGGTCATTAACCAGGTGTCAGCTGAAACTGACAGAATTCCGTCTTGCACCTTCCCTCATCAGTGCCTACATTTAGCAGATCTTAGGTGAAAGCTCTGGGGCATTTCCTACAACACCAGAAGGGAAGAGATTGTTTAAAGAGTATTTTGCTTTTCTTTAGTGTAAATGAGGATGCCATGCATGGCATGTATGATATCTTCATACATGTATCTTCATACATGCTATTATCCATGGTTGTCTTCCCTCTTCCCTGGTTGTTGCAGGATATTTAATCACACTGTTAACCCCAAGATTGTGTTATTTAAATAAAAGCAACTACAGGTCAAGAGTTGGAGCAAGCAACCAATTTGCTAGAATTAGCCATAGAGAATGAAGGGAAGTCAGGAGATCGGTAGGGGCTAGGATGTGTCACGGGTAGGACATTGGTAGGACATCCTGTTGGAGGAGTTTTGATTCAGAAAAAGAGGGTAGGTAAAAACCCTCATTCTGAGACAATGATGGAGGAAAGTCAGCTGGCTCCTTTCTCTGCCTCTCTGAGCTATCAGGTTTCCACCCCAGCATCTGGCACCTGAGTCTTTGTTGGTAATACAAAGAGCATAGAGTCAGCTGAGGCTCCCCTAGGCTTCAACATCAGTAGCAAGTCAGCTACAGTTGTGGAGATGTAGTCAGCAGCTGAGGCAGTGATATGATCAGATACAAATGCTGTGCCACAAAACAACAGTTGGTGGTCTTAACATGAGGCACAATCACAGGAACAGAGAAATTATGCTAGCAAGGGACAAACTGAAGTCATTAGATTTGTTTAGACATCTCAGAAGTCCTTAAGCAGTTAAGTAATATTAAAAAGAAA